GTAGTATTTTGAAAATGTTGTAAATATATTTTGATAGGTTTTGTGGTAATAAAGTTGTTAAGTTGGTTGTGTAAGGCTGATATGTGACTTTGTTCTTGTATATCCTGTAATTGTCTTAAACTATAAATTTGGTGGTGGAATATTGTTAAGTTAGAAACTATTGTTGCCAGCTCTGCTTTGTGTTTTATTACTTGTGTATATTAATTAATGATAGTACAGTTGCTGTTTTCAGATATACATATATTAGTGTTCTGTAGGAAAATCGTGATATAAATACTGTATTTATTATATAAATTGCTTGCTTTTCTGTTATCTTTTTCTTTTTTAATATATTGATTAAGTTGGTAGCCTCTATTGTGATTTGCTTGTAGATATGTTTGTGGTTACTGGATATTGTAAACTAGCACCCCAAGTATCAAAAAGTTTCTTTAAGTGGTATACTAGAAATATTTGTATTGGCAAAAGTAATAGAGAGGTTTGGATCTTTAGTATAATTAGTAGCTAGGACTGATTTTGTGAAGTTGATAGTAATATGTACCATATTGTAAAATGAAGCAGCACAGTTGATAATTGTTTGAAATGTCTCTTTATTAAGAGCTAACTATAAGGTATCATCCATATAGACTAGTATAGAGGTATGATATATTATTGGGTTGTGGTTCGGAGGTTATGCTGTTATAGTTAGGCCTTCGCATAGGCTGGGTAGGGCCAGGTAATAGCAATACCCTAGCCTTACCCATTTGTGTAAAGGCTTAATTTTTAAGCCCTTACCTTACCCTAGGACCTAAAATTTAATACCCTAGCCTAGCCTGTTGGCCCACAGGTACCTGTAAACTGCTTATAGGCCCAAGTTTACTATATTCAAAATTACAAATATGGCTTGTAATAAAAATAAAACTCGTCTGGTATTAAGTTTATTTGCTGATAATAAATATGACGATAAATACCAGCTAGCCAAAGGTGCTGTAATACATTGTAAATAATTTCAGCTAAGTAATTCGAACTAAAATAATGATATGCTCCCAGAAAATTAGCAATTGAGATTGTGTCAGATATCATTGTAACAGTAGAACAAGCGAGAAGCAGTACCAACTAGTAGTTTCTCACCTACTCAAAGCAGGCTGGCTGTTAAATAAAAAAATAGCAGAATTAGGAGACTATCATCTGTGGTGGGAAGGGCTGGGTCGAAAAACTTGTTTAAGATTATTGAATTGAGTATCAAAAGTGACTTTTTTCATCGTTCTTTATATATTGATTGCGGTTGGTAGCTTTTCGATTACGTATCTTTGCTTATTAATTATTTTGTTATTAATTCATGCAATTTGACGTTGATTGATCGGGTGCAAAGGTTTTAGCACATGGTGTGTGATCTCTAACCAGTACTACTTCCTTTCTTTTTGATCTTTTCAAATATTTATTTTCAAACCATTTTATATGAACTTTGCTAGAGATAGCACGGTATTTGATAAACTATATTGATATAGAATTTACAATAGCTTTCAAGCGTTGAAGTTTTTATTTGATCTATTTTAGCAATAAACGCTACTACAATTATTAAATATTCAAGTAAATTTCAACATCTACTACGTATTGATTTTTATCTACATAAAATACTATAAGAATAGTTAAATTGTATAATAATTATGGTTGTATATTATTTCGAACACTAGAAAGTCACATTATGTAGTATTTGAGAATGCCTTAATCTGAGAATATGGTAATTATTATCTTATATTTAGTTTTTAAGTACAATAGTTATTTATTATTTGGATAAAATGCTATATGTACACTTAAAACTACTTAAAACCCTGCAACAAAGCTATGGGTTATGAGCTAGTAATTACTATTAATATAATTTTAGAAGACAAATATAGTTGTCTTTCAAATGCTATTATATTTTATGCATCACTTCAATTTTATTCTTATTGTGCCTTTTTTTTTTTTTTTTTTTTTTTTTTTTTTTTTTTTTTTTTTTTTTTTTTTTTTTTTTTTTTTTTTTTTTTTTTTTTAATTACATAATAAATGCAGCATTTAGTTATTACTGACAATTTATTGAAGCGAAAAAACTTATATACACAGTTTATTTAACATTTTATTTAATATTAATATGCATTTTTCTAATAAAATATTAAATAAATTATGTAAATAAAAAACATTTATATCCTAATAAAATTGTGCTAAGACGAGAAATAACATGAGTATTTCAAAAAAATTTAAATCCTATTCTAATAGTAACCTATAAAAAATAGCAGTAACAAAAGAATAATAATTAATTAGTGCAATTGAATATTTATATATAACATAAAAAACAAGTTTATCATTATATTATTTTTATATTTAACCAAATTTTAAGTCTCATTCAAACTTTGTTGCTGCCTCTAACCAATTTCACTTTATATTAATACTGTTATTGTGTCTGAATCTAATAAAGTACAAACATTATTAATAATATGCCTTGTACAGCTAAATATTTGTTCAGATACCACGTTGGCGATAGTATTGCAAGAAAGTCTTGAGCTATGGTTGACAAAGTTGGAAAGCAGTCTTTATTAAGTTTTCACTATTCAAAAATATTTGTAGTTTTAGTTGCAATTTGTTCATCTAAATATTGATTAACCTCATAAAGTATATTATTTTCACTAGCCCGGGAACTTCTTATTGTATATTCAAAAAAATCATTAATGTAATCCTCAAATGTTGATATATTATTTTTAGTACTTGTAACTTCATGACTAGTTGAATGTTTAATAGCTGATAGAGAATTGTAAGTTTGAAGATATATATTTTCAAATCTAATTTTTATAATTATAAATTATATTAGTAATATAAAGTTGTAAAAATTAAATTAATAAATATGTGTATATACTTTTTTCTAATATTTTGTATTTTTTCATTAAGATTATCTAGCTCTAATTTTTTCTTTTCACGATAAAAGAATGAAATGAATTGTAACTTATAATGAGGGTCAAGAATGTATGCAATAATATATAAAAAGTTACTATCTTCCCAATATTTATTAAATTTTTCTATCATAGGCTTAGAAATATCATGGATAAAACTATCAGTATGAAATTTCATATTGCAAAGATAAGTACAAATATTTAAAATAGAAGCAAAAGTATTGTTGAGAATCAGATAAGTATTTGCAAATGCTTTTAGAGTATCTGATTTTTATAAAAGACAAAAAAAAATAATAATAAATAATAAAATAAAAAAAAGCAAAAAATCTATAAAATTTATTTAGTATAATAAATAACATACAATCATAGAATAGTTTTAAAATAGTACAGATATTATCTGCCTTACACAACCAACTTAACAACTTTATTACCACAAAACCTATCAAAATATATTTACAACATTTTCAAAATACTAC